CGTGCATGCCTGCGCTGACGGGCCCAGGGGCCTATGCCGCGACGCGCGCCCTACTCTCGGGGGGCGCGCCTGCGCCTTGCGTCGTTGCAGCCGAAAGCCTCTACTTGGGGGGCGGAGCAGCTTGCAGGAGGATGCGCAGCAGAAGTACGGGGGGGGGGGCGACCAGATCAGCTTGGAGGAAGGATGGGGAGGTTCTGGGAGGTCACGCATTCTATTCGGCTGAAGAGAATGGCTTTCAAAGGTACTATTCTGGCAGCTGCTACCTTCTCAGCAGGCAAGACTACCGTCGTCTGGACGCAGTCATCCTTGGCATTGCGAGAGTGGTGCTGAGAGATCGTAAGCCTGATTGTTTCAGGTGCCGCCGATGGCGCCAGACTCAAGCACCGCTCGCTCGCATAGGACACTGTGCTGAAACCAATGCGTATCACCAACTCCAGGGCCGAGATGTTAGTACGGCGTCTTCGTCAGTGGCAGTGGTTTGCGAAGTTCCCAGAGGACAGCAGGCAGCCCCTCGTAGCTCTCTTCGGGACCATGGACGGCCAAGAGGAGTCCGACACGTTTCTGGAGGACGGTTCCGCGTGCCCGAACGCAAACCCGTTGGCCCAGCTCCTCCAGAGAGACCTCCAGGCCTTACAGTACCTCGGGGGGGGGGGGGGGGCCCGAGTTCCTGGCGACTTATTCGGTTAAGGACATCTTCACTCGAGATATGGTTGGGAGGATCTCCTGCCGCTTTAACCATGAGAAGCTCCGATTGGAACCTGCTGCACGAGGCCCCCGAAGGACACCTCACCAGGCTGATCATGACGAGGGGGCCCCAGAGGCCTTCATATGTGAGCTCCCCGTCGAGGACCCCGCGGTCATATGTGGTCAGGTATTATACAGTAGAGGCGCTCTGAGGGCTCATCAGGTCCATCACCCCGCTCATAAACTACGGCTCCCTGCTCATCTCTTGGTGGTCACACAACAATGCCCCCATTGCATGTCCACGTTCAAGAGTCACGTCGCCGCCAAGAGACACGTCGCCATGTCCATCAGGAAACGGAGATGCATTACACACTGGGGCCCGCATGCCCCCGAACCCATCGCCCCGCCAGACCTGCGCTGTCCCTTCTGCCTGGACATTGACACCTCACCAGAGCACTTCGTTCGTAATATGCCCAGTGGCTCAAGAGAAGCAGGCCCATTCGAGAGCTTGGCAGAATTTGCAGATTCACAGATGTCACGTTCCCGCTCCGCCAGCTCCGGATTTGATATTCAACGATACTCCTCCAGATGGATCTGGCCACGCGCGCCCTCAGCGTCGGGGGCGCCGAGCGGGCCAATGTCTTGCGCCCGCGAGGCGGCGACAGAGGCCCAGGAGCGCGGCGGGGCGCAGCAGCAGCAGGCAGCGGCACTCGAGGACGAGGAGGAGCACACCCAGGAGGAGCGGCGGCGGCGGCGAGGCAGCCGCAGCCCCCGCAGGCCGCGCGGTCGCAGCGGGGGCAGCGGGAGGGCTCGCGGCGCCAGCGGCAGTGGCAGCAGCGGCGATGGGAGGCGTCGGCGCTCAGCCGCTGTTCCAGCCACCCAGGCGCCAGGCGCCTCAGCCGCAGCAGCAGCAGCGACACCAGCAGGACGACCTCGGCCGACCTCGGCCAGATGCTCGCGCAGCTCTTCGACGCGGCGGACAACAACAACTACGGGCTGCAGCGTGCAGACGTCCTACGGCTCCAAGATCAGGCTTTGCCTGTGGCACTCATGCAAGCGATCATGCCCGTGCTCGTCCGCTCGGCCCTGCGCACGCGGCAAGGGCTAGCGGCGCTTGAGTCGGGGGTCTACAACATCCATCGTTCATCTCGCAGCGGATCACGAGGTGAGCCAGGCGGTCCAACTGACGGGCAGGTACTTCGCGCAGGAAGCCCAGCGCCTCCGCCAGCAGCACCGCCAAGAGATACTGCAGGGAGTGCGAGTCGACGAGCTGGAGAAGCTAGGTGTACCCCATCCACACTTGTGGCTCACTTTAGTCGGGGCCTTGCAGCAGCAAGGCAATGCAGTGGGTGCACAGACGGCGGAGCGCATCGAGAACTACATGGACGAGATTCGCGGAGACCCGACGATGACGAACGAGAGCCTCGATGCCCACTGCCGCTACGGCCGCATCAATTTCACGCACGACCGCAAGATGATGAAGATCTTCCTGGAGGCCAGCGGGTCGGGGATTCAGACAGAAGTACTGGTGGCCCTGGTACAGTGCGGGACCACCATCAAGCACGGAACTCCCCCGCGCTCGAACCAGGAGCGACTGATGCAGCTGGCACTGGACGGACTTCGTATTATGTTTTATTTTTCGTTTTTGTAATATGTTCACGGTGCACCCCAACATGCACGAACATACCCACATAACGTACACTTCCCGTCGTTTTTGTGGCAAAAAGAGTCATGTTTGAATTCCTGAACCTGGACTGCGCATGTGCGTTCTTGTTTCGGGGATCTTCTGACCCGGGTCAATCCAGACCGGGGTCAGCAGGAAACCAAAAACTGCAATGCAGGAAAAAAAACTGCAACGCAGGTCTTCGCAAATCCGGGTCAGCCAATAGGCGCGGCCGCCTCGCGGCCACGAGCGGCTCGCTGACCCGGGTCAGTCAGAGGGGGTCTTCGCAGGATCTTGCAGGATCTGGCGCCCTGGCTGACCCCCGTTTGCATTGACCCCCTTTCGAGGCTCCCGATTGTTTTATGTCGGGCGTGTCCCGCTACAGGGGAATTATCGACGAAAAATCAAAATTATCCCCAACATATCCCAAAAAGGTCAAACAATACTCAAAAAACAGTCCCTGGACGATTTTGGGATTATTTTTGGATTGCTTTTGGGGCATCTGGTATTTTCCGTCGAAAGCCCCCCTGTAGGAGGACAGGCCCGACCTGATTCTTATTTTGAGTTGGCAGTTCTTTTCCAGTCTGTTTTGCACAGTTTCGTTGCTTCTTTCCGGAGCTCCTCCGTGGGTAAAACGACGCGAAGATCGGGACAAAATCGGATCGGGATAACTCGAAATCTTTGAGGATCGGCGGGTTTGGGGGATGTATTGGGCGCCGCGGCCGCTCCAGGGCGTTCTGGAACGCTCTGAGAGCGCTCCGGAACGCTCTGGAGCGATTCATCCTGATCCTGGCCCTGTTTTAGCCGTCCACGGATCGAGCCGACGCGGTGGACGGCCCGAGTCGGGGCTTTGTCGTGTCCGCCTTCCCCTCCCTTCCCCTTTCTTCTCGCCTCATCGCTTCGTGTGTTTGCCCAGGTGATAGTGGTGGTCGTTTGAGCTCCGTGGGCTATTCGGATGAGGCGCGCTCATTTCACTCTTCCAGGCCACGGCCGGAACGCTCGGGAGCGATTTATCCCGATCCTGGCCTTGTTTTACTGGGCCCCCCAGTGGGTGCTGGCGGGCGGCCGGGCGCGGCCGCCCCGCGCGGGCCCCCCGCGCCGCGGCTGCGATCAACAGCGCGGAGGAGGAGGGAGGGGGGAGGAGGAGGAGGAGGGGGGAGGGGGGAGGAGGGGGGAGGAGGGGGGAGGAGGAGGATGGAGGAGGAGGAGGAGGAGGAGGAGGAGGAGGACGAGGATGAGGAGGAGGAGGGGGACGGCGGCGGCGGCGGCGGCGGCGGCGGCGGCGGCACTCGACAGGTACACGAGTCTGACAACTAGCAGGCGGGGCAATCGTTGGACAGCTCAAGTGCCTCGAGTGCGCTAATCGATAGCGGTGCATTCGCACGGAGGGGGGGGCTCAAGGACGCCAGAGCGATCCCAGAACGGAAATATCCCTGGGGCCAGGCCGCGCAGTAAAAATCACTGCCAAACAAAGAAGGTACTTACACCCGAGAGAAAGCACATTAAAGAACGTAAGCGCGAACTCAAACACAAAAACTTCAGGTCCAGAAGGGGCCCCCAGGAAAACAAGGCGGGGGGCTACCCCGAGCTCAGTTGTTCGAGCTACGGGCTCCTCCCTCTTCCCTTCTCCTAGTAGGACCATTACTCAGACGGTAGATCGCGTCATCGAGGGTGGAGGAAGAGGTAAGGTGAGGACGAGGACGACGCTCCGACGACGAAATCGAGGGAGGAGGAGGACAAGAGGGGTGAGGCGTCCCGCCTAAATGTGCAGGAACATCTGCTGGTGGAAGGTGCCCACGCAAAGCTGGGCCTGGGGGCTTCGCCCTCCTGCTAGAGCCTCGAGCGGCGTCGGCGACGCCTGGGGCGTTCACAGGTAGTAGTACACCGCCGCTCAGGTGCTCTCGAGTAGCCGCAGTACCACCAAACATCATAGATTGTCCAGGCTGCACGGAGGAGCTCCGGATCAACCCGTCCCGATTTGGGACGGCCTTGGGGCCCATCGAGGGTCGGAGGGAGAGCAATACACGCGGGTCGTTGAAAGTGGGTATGTTTGGATTCCCAGATCCCAATCAATTCCAAGCGCCTTCCTACTTCAAGAATCGACGTGCTTCTGCTGCGATTCGTTATTCTCTGGGAGGGCCTGAGTCCAATCTACCTGATCCGCCTTCCTACTTCATGTTTTTTGCTTGCTTGTTCCGACCGACGCGTACATGTCTCCAGGGGTGCCGATGACCCATTGTTTCGACACGCCCCGATTCGGGACTCGGCGGCGACGATAGGGGCGAATAGCCCAGGGGCGGGCACTGCACGCATTCGCCAGGGAGCCTCTTCGAAGACACAGATCATCGGCGCACCTGGACAATTACATGAATTGCTCCCCCCTGGGCTATTCCCCCCTGGGGCCCAGCGAGGGTCAGAGGCGACGACAGGGGCGAACAGCCCAGGGAGGAGCAATACTTGTATCCAGGGGCGCCGATGGTCTATGTCTTCGACAATGCTCCTGGGCGAATGCACGTTGGGCCATTCGCCCCTACCGTCGCCGCCGAGAGGGCCCCCAGAGGCCAAGAACTAAGAACAAAAAACGTCTCCCGCTGTGTTTTTTTCATGACGCCAGGGGGCCTGGGTTTTTGGGGCCCCTGATGCACGTCTGTCACGGCACCGCGTTGGGACCCGCAGGTGTTCCGACGATCCCAGGAGGCCAGGTGCTCACGCGGCGCTGTCGTGCATCTTGGCGCGGACTCGGTCCAGATTCGGCTCCGGGTCCGTGCCGTCCTCGGCCCTGATCCGGCGCACACGTTCTGGTCCAGTCCAGCAAGAGTATGTCCACGATCTGCCGTGCAATTTTGGCGGCCCGAGGATGGACGCGTCTGCATACGCGATCTCGGAGCGGCGGGCCTGTCTGTAGCCCGTGTCATGCGGGCGTCCGTGGCCGAATCTCAGCCGTCGCGTGGCCCGATGGGGCTGCTTCAGGCTCAAAGTTTGCATCCTGTCTTACTCTTCTGCGCATCGCATCCATCACACGCACACTCGGCCAAGCTTACAGCTTATACGTTATACCTCAATGTTTGGATTTGCGTCAGCAAATTATTCACGCTTCGCGTATCACCGCCTGCCTGGGCTGACACCTTCTTGCACGGAGACTGGTTCCCCCCATGCGATTGTCGATCCGACACGATCCATGACTGGGGATGTGTGGCGCGCCATTTTGGTTGCGTCCGCCTTGCTTCCTGGGTGACTGACCCCTCAGACTCCCTGGGTTGCAGCTTGCACTGCCGCCTGGCCCCTCAGACGCCCTGGGTTGCTGCTTGCACCGCCGCCTGACCCGCGGCCCCCGCGCGCGCCCGGGTAATTCGTCACGGCCGCAGCCCGACCGTGACCTCCCGCCGCCGGCGCTTCCGCCTGCGGCCCCCCCCAAAAAAAATATCACCGCCTGCCGCTTAAGACCATTCCGCGGTTGTTAGCCGCACCCCATCCATGTGCTGTCTGGACTCATTCAGGACCTGCTCCTACTTTTTCGCGGCTGTCAGCCGCACCTCCTCTGCATCGACAGGTCTCAGGCGAAACCATTTCTCACCTACCAGCGGCTGTCAGCCGCACCCCAGAGGCGCTTCGTCACGTCTTGCGCGGTACCTTCCATCCTGCGGCTGTCAGCCGCACCCCAGCTGTGCGCTGGCCGGTCTCAGGCGATACCATATCCTACGCTCCCGCGGCTGTCAGCCGCACCCCATCAGTGCGATCCGGGCTTGGCTTTCTCAGCGTGTCCCAGGCGAAGCCGCTCTCCAACATTCATCGGCTGCGTGCCGCACCCCAGCTGTGCATCGACAAGTCTCAGGCGGAACCTTTTTCCCACCATCCTGCGGCTGTCAGCCGCACCCCAGTCGGCCTACAGGCGGTTCATTTCCTACCATCCAGCGGCTGTTAGTCGCACCCCAGTGCCGTGACATGTCTCAGGCCATACTACTTCCCCTGTTCCTGTGGCTGTTAGCCGCACCCCTGGTATGTCTCAGGCGAAACCTCTCCTACCTTAGCCCGCGGCTGTTAGGTGCACCCCTAGGGCCGCGAGCTGGTTTTAGGCGTCACTGACGTGAGCACCTTCCTTTCTGCGGCTGTCAGCCGCCTCACCCTGAAGCTAACCGAGTTTCAGGCGGCTGTCAGCTGCCCCTCTCCGTCGGGCGCCTCCGGCTCCCGTGCTCCCCCCGGGGCACGCGGGGCGGTGGGTCCCCCTCATTCTCGCGGCCTCGCGGTTGCATTGGTGACGGCCGTGGGTACAGCTACTTGGTCTTCGGTGAGGGCGCGGTTCGGGCTTCCACTGGCACGTGCTGTCGCTGACTGCTCTCGGGCCCTGCCGTCACCTGGTCCTTGCGCGAGGCTTCGGCGTCCGTCGGCTGGATAGGTTTTGAGTTTTACGGCAAGTACGCGGAGTACAAGAAGTTCAGGGTGATCACCTACTCGGTCCTCTACCTCCGAGCTGCCGCGTGTGCTTTCTTATTCCCGCTCCTTTTGGTTTCCTCTTTCGCTCGCCGTCGTTCTCTCTTGCTCTTCGCTTTCTTCGTCGTTTCGCCCCCTTTTGCTTCGCCCGCGATGCCGTGTAGCGCTGGCTCGGCGCAGCGGCCCCTTCCTTTTCCGCGCGACCTTACGACGCGCGCGGGTGGCCGCTCGCGGTCGCGATCCCAAAAAATATCCCCGCCTGCCCATTCGGAAACGTTGCCCATGAGAGCTGACAGGAAACGGTCGGAAGAGATCCTGAAAAGATGCCCAAGCGGGTGGCCTTGTTCAGGGAAGTTTAGAAGAGTGCGAGGAGGAGCAGGAGGAGAAGGAGGAAGAGGAGGAGAAGCAGGAGGAGGAGGAAGACGAGGACGAGGGGGAGAAGGAGCACAAGGACGACCACGGGAACGAAGAGGAGGAGGAGGAGGAGGAGGAGGAAGAGGAGGGCGAGGACGAGGACGAGGAACATGACGTTGAGGACGATGAGGAGGACGAGGAGGACAATGAGGAAGAGGAGGGATATAGCGAAAATGACCGGGACGAGGAAGAGCAGGAGGAGGAGGAGGAGGAAGAGGAGGCGAAGGAGGAGGGGAGGAAGAGCAGGAGGAGGAATGTATTGAGGAGGAGGAGGAGGAGGAGGAGGAGGAGGAGGAAAAGGAAAAGGAAAAGGAGGAGGAAAAGAAGGAGGAGGAGGGGGAGGGGGGGAGGAAGAAAGGACGATGACGAGGACGAGGACGAGGAGAGGGACTCTGGCAGCCATCCTAGGGTCTCCGTAAGGCCTTTTTGGCGTCCTCTTGGGGCCCACTTGGGGTCCTGTCTGGAAGGTCTTGGGGTCCTCTTGGGGCTCGTTTGCGGGGTCTGAGGGCCGTCGATGGAGAGAGCCCTGGAGGCCATCTTGGGGCCATCTTGGAGGCCATCGGTTAAGGGAGGGGGGCCCCCGATCTCCGTTTCCCCTTCCTAGGCCTTCAAAATCGTTTCTCGAGGCGCTTTGGGGGCGGCATTGGGCCGCCTTTGTGCGCTCTTGGGGCCGTTTTGGGGGCATCGTGGGTCCATCTTGGGGCTCTCCTGGGTCATAGTGGGGCCTTCTTGAGGCCTCAAAAGAGTATCGGAAGCGAAAAGGCGAGACGGCAAACATAATCGATTGTCTCTTAAGGCTTTCGAGGGATGTTGGCTTCTTTGGGGGGGGGTCCTGAGGGGGCTCTGAGAGCACTTGGAGTCGTCTCGCGATCCCGTTGAGGCCTCTGGAGGTTGTTCGGCAATTAGGTTGAACCATCTTTGGCTACCTTGAGCAATCTTGGAGGCAACCTTGGAACATCGGACGCATTCTTGGAGCCATCTGGGCTATCTTGGACGCTCTAGTCCTTTGCGATCGCCACCCAGGGCACCCCTCCGCGTAGGGAAGAAGTGTATGAAGAGGACAGGATGAACCCGTTAGACCGCTTACGCCCACAGGGCTGGTAGGATGCCTGCCATCAGGCACCCTGGATCGCGTGGTTGGTGGGCATCGCCTTCCACATTGTGCCTCTCGCAGATTCGCTCAAGACGGTCTCCACGGTCAACGCAACGGGACATTTGCAGTCGTCGCTTGATGTCGATGGCATGGTTCTCAAGACGGACCGCTCGTGGGCCTGCACTTCGATCAGTGCGAGTAGTTTCACGTACCAGTACAATTCTTACCGGTCCGGCGACACGATCGTGGTGACAAACAATGCATTGAGCCAGATCGGGCGGGCATACTACAAGTGGACAAATTCGGGGGGATTCAAGATCAACTTCGATATGTGGATGGGCGGTGGTACAGGCGCCGATGGCATGTGCATGAAGTACGGAGGTTATGATTATGGCGAATATGGCGAAAATATTGCTTCCAATGGCTTATCTGTATGCTTCGACTCCTATTCAAACGAAAACGATCATGGCGTGGTGATGGGCTGGAACGGTGGGAACATCTTTTCACAGATAGGCTCGGGCCACTGGGGAAACCAAGTTCCTCTATTCGAGGATTCCACCTGGCATGACGTCATTGTGGAGGTTACCCCCAGCGGCAATGGTGCGAATGTGATATTGAATTTTGACAACGGCTACTACTACAAAACTGCTTGGATTGGTAGTTACTCGTCAATCGTTGGCAGCCAGCAGTTGGCCTTCACTGCAAGAACTGGTGGCTCCACCAACTGGCACTACGTCAAGAACATCCAGGCGTGCACCGCCGCGACGCCTAGCCCAACGCCGTATCCGACGCCGTACCCGTCGCCGTACCCGACGCCGTATCCAACGCCTTACCCGACGCCGTATCCGACGCCGCACCCGACGCCGTACCCGACGCCCTATCCGACGGCATTCCCGACGCCCTATCCGACCGCGTTTCCGACGCCATTCCCGACGCCGTATCCGACGCCGTACCCGACGCCGTACCCGACGGCGTTTCCGACGCCCTACCCGACGGCGTTCCCGACGCCCTACCCGACGCCCTACCCGACGGCGTTCCCGACGCCCTACCCGACGGCGTTCCCGACGCCCTTCCCGACGGCATTCCCGACGCCGTTCCCGACGCCTGGCCCGACGCCCAGCCCGACGTATCCTGCAGGTTGGCCGACGCCACATCCGACATTTCCTCCCATGGCTCCCATGGCCGGCGGAGCTGGGGCTGGGGGCGTGGCTGCAACTGGCGACCCACACTTGCAGAACATCCACGGTGAGCGGTTCGACGTGATGAGGCCTGGCAGGTACGTCTTGCTACACATCCCACGGGGCGAGCGGGCCGAGAGCGCGTTGCTCCGCGTGGAAGCCGAGGCGCGTCGGCTGGGCGGGCAGTGCGCAGACATGTACTTCCAGGAGCTGAACATCACGGGGGCGTGGGCGGAGGCGAAACAGACGGGCGGCCTCGTCTTCCAGGCCCGCAGCGACGACGGCGACCTCTCGGACTGGGAGAAGTTTGGCAGGATCGAGCTGAAGGTTGCCCACGGGCGTACGAAGCAAGGCTGGGGGAACAAACATCAGAGGAGGAAACGGTACAGTGCCGTTGTTTTAATACATGCTCCGCGTGCGGATCATGTATTAGAAATGCAGGGATTTAGTATTAAAAACAACGATGGGTTCATGCATAAATTTACTCATACATTGATCATGTATCAAAAAACATATATGTTTAAACATCCCATGTATCAAAAACTGCCCTGTACTCATACCTCTGCCCTCCCCTCGCTTTCTCCTTTCTGGGCCTCCGGGGCCTCCGTCGTCGCCACCGCTGGATTCGCCTCGAAATCCTGGTCAGAGCGCGCCCCTGGAGCGGTCCAGGGAGCAGCGGTATCGGTACCCCTTGGCTTCCCCGGCGGATGCCCCTGCTGCCGCTCTCCGGGCCTCCTCCTTGGGTGCGTCCTGGCCAGAAGTAATCGGGGGCGGAAAAGAGGGGGGTGATGAGGAGGAGGAGGAAGAGGAGGAGGGGGAGGAGGAGGAGGAGGAGGAGGAGGAGGAGGAGGAGGAGGGGATGATGACTAGGGGGGGGGGTGGATATCATGGCGGGGGCCATGATATTTCCCCAGATTTTATGGCGCCTCCTCTTCTTTCATTACGTCCCTGGCCCCCCCGCTGGGCCGCGCACATGCCGCCGGTCATGATTTGCACCCCCCCCCCTCTTGGACACCGCCCTCTTGGCCGCTCCCGAAGTAAGTTCGAAGAGAATCCAGCCGCGGTGACGTGAATTCTCCGGGGCGAGCGGCGGCATCGGTGCCAGCTTCCTTCCCGAAAGGCGTGCGCTACCTGAACTTCTACGTCAGGCACCTGGGGCGCGCCGGCTTCGACGTCGGAGGGCTGCTGGGAGGGGACGACCACTCCGCGGCCGCGGAGCCTCCCGAGGCGTGCGCTCGGCGCGTCTCCCTCGCGAGGGAGCACCACGCCTCGGATGCAGAGGCGAGCCTTGCGTGACAGCGTGGGCGCGGGAGGGGCGATGGCTCCGACGGCAGGCTCGTGCCGCGTCGACGCGGCGGCGGCCCCAGCCGCGGGCGCTCGGGGTCGAGTGCCGTCGGTGGCCTGCCGCCGGCCGACGTCAGGCTATCCGCGGTGTCCGGGGATCCGCGATCGCGCAAGGTCGAGCGATCCATGCGGCGTCAGAAGTCCACGCCGAGGCCGTCGCGACGCGGACCTGCCGCAGTTTCTGAGCGTTTTAGAGACGGGCGCAGCGGGATCCCACCATGGTGCAGCGCATCCGTTTCTGGCCGACACCCGCGTGGGCCTGCGAGAGCCGCCGCGTTTGCTGGACGCGCCTTCTGAGCAAAAAGACAGCACGCGCGCGAACGTGAAGTGATCACGCGAGCGGCGCACGCGCAGCAGGAGCCGGACGGGCAGAGAGGGGCAGGAACGCCGAGATCCCCGCGGGGGGCACAGAGAGGGGCGCTCCGCGCCAGGGCTTCCCAACACCCGCGCAGCCTCGCCGCGAGCCACATGATTTCCCAGCCTACTTTAGCCTCGATCGCAAGAGTACCGAAACTCGAGGGTTTTCACGTGCCGGGCCCTGGGAGACACTCTTCCGACATTTTCTCGCCACTCTTTCGACACTTTTCTGGGTGCTCGAAATTAGTTCTGGGATGTGGTCCTTAAGTACGAAGGGTGGCGCCCGACTGGAACGAATAAATGTTCCTGAATTCTCTGTGGCTGGTCGCCTCGGTGATCTCTTTCAGGATGATATAGTTGTTCGCCATCTTACCCCCCTCGAAGTGGACCTTATTGAAGCCACCTTCTGACCCAACAGGGCGCATGGTGTGGGGGGCACAACTGATTGACCTTGTACTCGGGAAGCTACCTAACGCGAGCTGGGCCAGCGTACTCCTCGTTCCCCTCCTCCGCGCCTCCGAGTCGCCGCTCTTCCTGGTGCTGGAGGAGGAGGAGGAGGAGGAGGAGGAGGAGGAGGAGGAGGAGGAGGAGGAGGAGGAGGAGGAGGAGGAGGACGGAGGAGGAGGGAGGAGAGGGGGAAAAGAGGAGGAGGAGGAGGAGGAGGAGGAGGAGAGGAAGGGAGGAGGAGGAGGAGGCAGGGGAGGAGGAGGAGGCGGAGGAGCGGAGGAGGAGGAGGAGGAGGAGGAGGAGGAGGAGAGGAGGAGGAGGAGGAGGAGGAGGAGGAGGAGGAGGGAGGAGGGGAGGAGAGGGGGAGGAGGGTTGAGAGGGGTCGGAGGGGGAGGGGGAGGAAAAAGGCGGAGGAGAAGGAAAAGAGAGGAGGGAGGGAGGAAGAGGAGCGAGGAGAGGAGGAGGAGAAGGAGGAGGAGGAGGAGGAGGAGGAGGAGGAGTGAGGAAGAGAGGAGGAGGAGAGGGGGGGAGAGGGGAGGAGGGGGGAGGAAAAAGAGGAGGAGAAGGAGGAGGAGGGGGAGGAGAGGAGGAGGATGGGGGAGGGGGAGGAAGAGAGGAGGAGGAGGAGGAGGAGGAGGAGGAGGAGGAGGAAAAGAGGAGGAGGAGGAAAAGAGGAGGAGGAGGAGGAGGAAGAGGGGGGAAGAGGGGGGAAGAGGAGGAGGAGGGGGAGGGGGAGGGGGAAGAAAAGAGGAGGAGGAGTGTCATGAGTGTCATAGATCCAAGAAGTGCACGGCGAGCGAGGCTCAACCGTCACCCTCGGCCTCCCAGACAGGAGGAAGGAGCCCGCAGGCGCCAGCACCGACGGTCAGGGGAAAAGCAGATACGTCGCCGTTCAGCGACTCGCTGCCCAACCGAGACGGCGTGGTGCGTAGGGGGACAGCCAGTTCACCGCGTCACCGCGCAGTACTTCCCGACAGTCACCCCTACCCCCAGGGTGAGCGGACAC